AATTCGCCGAAATACTTTGTGAGAGTGGATGTACGACAATTCACAATCATTTCACTGGAAGGTTTGTTAGTTGTTGAGTTGGGTGATAGTTTCAAATGGATTCGATTAGGCAGTAATTCTTTCAGTTGTTCATCGTTCTCGATAAGATTGAGAAGGTAATGTAAAGGAAAGTTTTTATTTTCCCGTGATCACCACCAATCATTCAGTCTGTCGGAAAGCGATGATATTAGTAAATGATTTGACTGCGCAAAGGAAGGCGTAAAAGGGGAATTCTTCCAGTGGCTGTCGTAATAAGCAAACGTTCAATGCGGCTAAGTCGACGACTTATGCAGAGGGAAAAGGAGTGTGGTCAATTGCCTATGGAACTGGGAACTGTGGTGGTTTTCGTGGAAATGATCAAGTTGACGTAAGAAAACTACTTCATAGAGGGTGCAATTTAAGTGACAAATTGAAATGTTGAATCAAAGACAACGTCCCACTCTACTTGCAATCTATCGCAGATAGGACGCAGTCCTGCTATTTTGAGCATTTAACATATCACATCTTTCCAGTCGTTTGTATTGAATGCTTTTTCCTTTTGGGTAAACCTATTCAGAGAAGGCAAATTTCTATGCCTGTCCGGTACAGAAACGGATGCTGTCCCCATATGCTATTCGGTCTTTATATGAGATTGATGAAAAGCCGTTATTGCAAAGGACTCTGATTCAGTCATATATTTAGTCAAAATAGCCGTGAATGATCGATTGTGAGGCAAAATGAAGTGAAAGGTGGCAAAGAATCGTGCGTTGTTCGCGATATACACTTGGCCTGGAAAAAGATAAAACTGATTTTTTTTGGTCTCAAAGAATACTTGATAGGGAATGTTTCAGCTCGGTGGAATGAAGATTAAGGTCACATTTGGACAGGCCACTCAATTGGACGAATTTATGCTCACCGACAAACGATTCGACGGTATTTTAGGATTAGCATTTCAGTCGCTCAGTGCGATTGGAACAGCACCACCATTTTTGGCTGCTGTTAAGCAAGGAATCATAAACGAAGCTGTTTTCACTGTATTTTTCCGCAGAGATGTTAGTTGCGCTTTCACTGGAGAAAATGAAAATGAAAGAGGA